TAACCAGAATTGTCCACTTTTGTCATTGTTATTTGCTTGTTATCAATTCGAAAACCAAAATTATTGCAAAACAACAACTATCATTTTGTCTTCTTAAATTGAAAATGTAAAAGATTAGTTTTAACGGGACGTGGCTTATCTCGGCAGCCGCCATGACAGAGCTGCCATAACAGACACATGTTGATTGTTGCCATGGAAACACCGGATGTTATAGAAGATCAATCTGCTGCATAAGGAGCGGGAGCTGCTACTGAAAGCTGCCGTACTGTTGCTGTATATACTGCTGTGATAAAACCTTAATGTTAATCATAATATACTTGGACACATTAGCTCGTCTGTAAACATATTCTCTTCCTCAGGTCGGTTTCAGTCATCTTGACTCCGGTCAAGTTGGAGTTTGTTTTCATCTGTGGTGGTGGGATTGGAGTCGCAGAGAGAACTCCCAGGAATCATGGCTAGCAACAACGTCATACTATGGTCTTGTTTTGATTGAGAGCCCCCTTGGAGGCAGAATTTACATCCTGCGTCTAAGATTATGATTAAGATTTTTACATTTCAACCAGCACTTCACAGTAGACCATCCTCACAACATTGTCTGACTGCAGTGAATTCAAATCTTCCATGAGAAAAAAAAGGCTTTTAACGAGCTGAGAGGATGAAGCAGTGCTTTAACGTAACCTGTGTCTGTTTATTTTTCTCTACTCTGTGAATATGTCTGTGTAATTCTTCTGCAGCCAACATGCTCATAATGGCTCCAGCATAAAGTAACTTTTTTATCTTCCTCCTCAATGTGATGCTGCCCACAGTTTACAGTATCAACCAAGTCCTAACTGGCTATTGCTTAGCAACACAGCCTCTTTTTTCTCCAGCCCCAACCTTTTTTATAGATACACATACAAACAAGTCAGTCCCACACACACACACACACACACACACACACACACATCTTCATGCATTGTTTTGTATATGACTTGTATAACAACTGTAATTAATCAGAGACTCTGTGTGTGTCTGTCAGAACTTTGTAGGGTTTGGAGTGTTTGTGTGAGCGTGCTTATTAGTGCGCCACTCTCTTTGACGACCCCAGCAGGGAAGCAAAGGAGAGAACACTTTCCAACATGAAATATTCCTCATGTCTTCCTGCAGCCTCTTGATAATGATAATGATAATGACACAGCTGTGCCTGTGCACCTGAGAGTTACCCATATATCTCCGATCCATTAGTCCATTAGAGAGGGATTGAGGAGGGAAAGGAGAGCGGTATAAACATGGGTAATCTGCAGACAAAATAATGGAAAAACCATATACAGATGCAGCTGCTTGAGTAGGAACATGTGTGAGAAAATGTCTGGGAGACAAAATCAGAGGTCTTGTGTAATGTAGTGACACATATCTTGCATTTACTGCTTGAGATAAATTCATTTAAACTGTAGCCATAGTTACCTTACCGTCACATGTTCGTTTTCCGACTGCCTTTTTGAATCCTCAAGTTTGGTATGTCTGTTGCCTCCGTGTTGGTTGCCTCGAGCGAGATGTGAATAGATTTGGGCGAGAGGGTGGCACTTTAGAGGAGAAAAGTTTTGGCAGACACTCGTGTGATTGAAGCTACACAATCAACCTCATTCAGTGACTGTATATTAAGACGGATGACAACAGTGAACAAAAGTTGTGCCAAAATGATCCCTGTGATTGGCGCTGACGTATTGCACCGGTGATGCACTGAGGCGGCACAGCAGTAATCAGCTGGAGTAGGCGCAATATGGATGTTCTGCCACTCTGCTAACCAAAACACACAGATAACTAACACTTATGGTTACAGAAAGTTCAATGACTTTGGTGTTTTTTATGCTTCCTGTCTCCATCCTATTCTACTCTGCATATCTGTTGCAAAGCACTACAGGAGCTGAATTTCTCAGCAGAGCAAGCAGTCAATCTTTGCGTTATACTCCTATTTTAGTCTCAAATAACTAATTAAAACTAAACCTCTCAGAAAAGGGAACTCTCAGACATATCAGCATGATATAAGGACTATCTTTTATGACAGGAATATGTCTGAAAATAAAGTATTAGAAGTCTATTTTAATTGTCTTGTCGTATTGTCTGTTAACATGGAGGGGCGCGGAGCTCATGACCTAAAGTGCAGCTACAGTCAGTAGGGGGGTGTCCAAATGTGTTGGCTTCACTTTTGTGTACTGTCATGTCGTTCATCTTTTTATACAGTCTATGGGCCCTTTTCATTCATTCAATTTATCAAAGTAAAGAAGCTATGAGGGTGTGCGTTGAGTGTAGCAAACTTGCTGTTCACTTGCTTCAATCTACTGTGAGAGTGGTGGGTGAATGACACATACCAACTTATTTAAAAAAAAAAACACCTTTTTGTCATTTCAGTCCGCTGTGATTCCTAAAAGAAAAAAGCTTACATAAATCCTTGTTCCGCCCTGGCTGACAAAACAAATCGATGGGTAATGAGAAACACTGCAAGCTAACAAGCCAGGTATTGCAATCCATTGGTTATTAAATTAATGGTACCGTATAAATAACATAATTAGTGCATCAAGACTTACGATGGATTTTATGGATCTGTGAAAAATCCCCTAAAGGCACAGCAAAACAAGCAGATGTTCCGTTCTGTGACCTAATTAGCCGAGTTTGCAAACAGACGGCAGCCAACAACTTGTCACTTAAAGCAACCACGCTGCTATCATACATGCTGTAGCTTTAAAACCTCAAACTAATCAAATCACGTGAGCTGGACACAATTTCACATTTATCATCATAACCAGTTGGCAGGGGAAAAAAGGTTCAGGCTGCGACGCTTACTGTGACTGACTTGACTTGAGCTCCTGTCATGACATTTGCTGCTGCATCATCCCTCAGGCAGTTGATTCAAAGCTGCTGTTTTATCTGCACAACTTTATGAAGCCGTCGAGGGTGACTCATCCATCAGACAGGGATCCTCCTTTGTCAGTGTGAGCGTCCGTGCATGTGTATGGGAAGGCAGTGTTTGATATTTGTTTATGTTTTCGTGTATGACCTTGAGCAGCACTCAAGGCTGATTGAGTTTGAGGAGAAATAAAGCAGGCAGACTAAACGCAGTGATACCAGACTGGTGTATTGCTGTGTGGATCTTGGCAGGTAGAATCGACTGTCAATCATGTGTAGAGCCGTGTGCTGTGTACAGATTAGCTACAGAGGTTTGCTAATGCTTTTGAAGTGGATTTATTTTTGCTGCTTGAATTAATTAAACAGAAAATGTTAAGAACAGTGTTTTAAGCAACTGATGTTGCTGTTGTTTAAAGGCTCTTAAAACATTTTCAGCCTCTCGGCTACCAACAGGATTCAGAAGCCCCCTGTAACCAATGGGTGGCGACACTTGCTTTGTCACTGTAATTGACAGTCTGGTTTGAGATACGTGTTGTTGCTACTTTTATTTTGTTGCAGAAGTTCTCATGAAAATGTAATAATGAGGTAATGTAAAAACTAATAATTTAAGCCTCCTCTTGCATAGCCTATTAAGACACCTTCTGTGAACAATGACTGTAGGGTTTTGTTGCAAAGATTCATCCCTGAAGAAAAGTTTCCCTCGTGAAATCCATTCCTCTTAAGATTTGTGGAAAAAAAATCCAGCGAGGTTACCCAAGAGGTGATATTTATTAGACAGACTGAATGAAGTCTATTTGATGTGTTTGTGTCAGCGAAGTGGTTCAGAGGAATCAGCTCTCAAGCATTTGTCAGCATCGCTCTTCCTCTAATCCCACCTTGCACTCTCATCCTTCTCAAAGGAATATCCTCTAATAGGGGGTGTCACTCAACTCCCAAAAGTTGTGACACCGAAAGTTGGCATGTGGAGTTTTATACTTTTCTTTTGTCTAAAGAAAAAACATGACAATTAAGGTAGAGTTTTATGTTTTCAATTCAGACGGAGAGATACATTCTGTCCTTACGTTTCTCTTGGGTTTGTGTTGAAATATTTGAGGTCAATCGATAAACTTCCGCTTTGATCAGACCGCAGGCATTTAGACTTTATCCTCAAATCAAACCTTTCAGAAGAACCATGTCCATATTTAATTCAAGTGGAGTCAAGTTCACATTGGAGTCCTGTGTCCAGACAACACCAAACGATCTGGTTGCTTTGGAAAGTGAAAAAGGCATTACTAACGGCGAACAAAAGTTGATTTGCTTTCCAACACAGAAGCATGCTGTATGTAGCTCCGGCACCTCCCCTTCTTAAAAATCATGCTGTCAAGCCGCACTGCAGTGCTCCTGGAGGAGGCTGGAACACAAATAGTAGGATGAGTGACTTCCTTGGATGTGGCGTACTTCTTTCGCTTTGGATTTGATGTTGTTGTGTGTTGCTTTGCAAGGGAAGCTGAATTTACTCTGACATCCAGTTAGAGAATTACATACAAATACCTACAAACAGTTTTATTTCATTAGCAAAAATTCTAGTTCAAACAATGCAAAACTGAAAGCTAACTTACTGAAATACTTATGATCTACTATTTCCCTCCCAATTTTTTTGCTAAATCAAATTTTCTCTGAATAATGCATTGAATGTGTCTGAAAACACATTCAATGCATTATTCAGATAAACTAACGATAACAAAATGTATCAGATAAAATTCTTCCACTCAAACCAAATGTGATCCATTCCTTTGTCTATATTTCATTGAACCCAAAGTAAAAAATAACATCTTTATAATTAATTCATGATTTAACCTCCAAACAAAATTACACATTGGACCAAGTATTTGTACATAAGTACAATTTTGACAGGACTGTTGTAATTTATTTTTATTTTTTTATTAAGCTACAATTAAACAACTCTGACAGCTCTTCCAGGTATTTGCCATTAGATATCAAAATGATATTTAGGTGTTGTTCAAGAAACATTATTGCTACATCCATGTTTTCAAGTAATTTCATTCTAGCTGTAGCCTTTCATGTTAATTTGGTCATTCTGTAACAAAACATTACTGTGATTTGTGTTTCGATTCCAGACATCAACATGGCAGGAGAGCCAAAACCATACAGGCCTAAGATCGGCTCCAAGAGGCCTCTCTCGTCCCTCTACAGGTCTGTGTAAAACATGTGTTATCACACCATGACAGCAAAATATTGCTTTGCTGACCTACTTCTTCTCGCTGCTCTTGCTTTCTGTAAAATATGTTCTCCTTGTCCTCACTGGTAGACCTGGTTCTTCTGGGGGGGAAAAAAACGAACAATTCCCCAGTAGAGCCTCTATTTTTAGATTTTTAGTTATTTGGCTAATAACTGCTTTACATTGCAGGCAATACTAGGAGATTTCTTTAAATACCCTCAATCACTTAGATCAATTAATATTACCCTCATGATGGTAACTTTGAAGCTAGGCTAGTTAGCTTAGCCTTGCTTTTAAACAGCATGTTTAAAAGTGTGATGTTCTAGTTTTAAGGGCATACTGTAGTTTGTGTCAGAGTAAACTCATACCAGCTTGAGGATATTACCTTGAATACATGTATTTGCCTATTGGTAAGGCATTAAATCTGTTTAGCTAACTCTCGGTTCTTATCCCAGGAATACCACAGTTCATAAACTAGCCTCACCATTAATTGCAAGGTTTTGTTTTTACAATTTGCTTTGAGCAGAATAAACAAAAAGCATTCAGTGAGATGTTTAACAAGCTTTGGAGTTGATGATAGGTCTTTGTTGGAAAAAGCCAGGTTAGCTTTTTCTGGCTAACACGAGCTTGCTGGCTGCAGCCTTACAATATGGATAAAAGAGCATTCTTAAGTTTGTAATGGTAAAGTCTAGTTAATGTCAGCACCTTTTTATTGTTTTAATTTTCTCTCATTCTTGCCTGTTTTATGTGTCAGGACTTTCCTTGTTGAAACAATACACATAAAACACTGAAAAATAATATTAATACAAGGTCTCTCTTGTGTTCACAGTGGCTACGAGTTTGACTATGACTACTACAGAGATGATTTCTACAGCAGGTATGTAAAACCAATAGGTGGAAAATAAAACATCAAACTGGCTGTAATGTGTAACTTCCCATATTGCTCAGAAAGCTTGCTTTTTCCTGATATTATGCGCTTCACATGAACCCTCCTTTAATTTTTATTACTTGGCACAAGATGAGTTTAGAGCAGAATGGCCCCATTTCCATCAGAAGCAAAGTAACTACATTATCATAGGCATAATGAATGTCATATTGGGGAGGTTTTTATTTCTCTCCGCTTGGCTTACTAATGATGCTTTTATCCACATATGCGAGTATAGAATGTCAGATAGTCCCCCGGCTGGTCATTTGTACCAGTGAGGCAAAAAATGGATCTTCCTTCTGACATTTTCATTGCTTTGTTTACTTCCTCTACTTTGCAATATCACTGCGAGTCCAATCCCTCAGCTTTGAGTCATTATTGCTATTTTGGCAATTTGGTGTGTCATAGGGAACAGAGAAAAGATTTGATTGAACGGCTGTGGTGTTGTACAATATGTACCACTTTCATTCAAACATCTTTTGCAGCTTGTCTATAAAGTGGTTTGTAAGTGCTTTTTGCCAGCCCCCCCCCCTAAAAATACAAAATACAAAACAACCTGATGACACAAAACAACTTTAATAAACAAAACTTCCTCCTTCTTCTTAAAAATGTGTTATTTTTTCCTACTGCATCATTTTTTGTTAGAATTGCTTTATCCTTTGTGTTTTCAGACTCTTTGAGTACCACGGTCGTGTTGTGCCTCCGACCCGGGCTGTGATTCCTATCAAACGTTCCCGGCTAGTTGTCCCTTCAACACGCAGAGCCAAATCCTCCTTTCCTGTCAGAGCCTGTTCATCCTCTTCCTCATCCTCCTCTTCCTCCCCTCGAGTGCTGAACGTCGGTTGTTCAATAGCTGCCCCTAAACGTATGTTGTCTATATCCCTTTTTGTTCCTTCACTTTTTCCTGTTCTGTTTTTTTTTTTAAATGACTTTTTATTATCCTTGTTTAATTCAAATTGGGGCCTATATATTTTATTATATAGTAATGTACTGTAATCACTGGAAAAATGGCTTCCTGTAGTAGGGCAAATAAACGCGGTCAGCCAGATTTATAGTAGCAATATAAAAAAAATGTATTCAGTCATTTATATTTTTGTTTATTTGATTTTTTTTTTATGAAGCTTACCAAAATTAAGAGATCAAAGAAACACAGCACGTCTTCACATTTAAAAAACTGTATCACTTTTTGTCTTGGAGTATGACTTATACAATCAAACATTTTTATAACTGCTGCTGATGAATCTTCTTGTGATCAATTATTCACTACACATTGCTCAGAGTGAATAAGATGCATGTCCGCTTGGTTAGTGCTTCTGTAAAATCTGTTTGTGAGGTTACTTTTATCATCTATCTTGTGTTCTCTTTTATAATTCAAATGATACAGCAGGTTTTAAGCTAGATTTCCAAACCATGTTATTTCAAGGTTCATCTCCAACTAGTAATTTTACTGCCTTCCTTGTTTTGCTGAATGGGAACAGTCTGATCCTGCTGCTCAGTATCTTTCAGTATGATAAATGTTTAATGTTAACTTCATATGCTGTCCCATAGTGGCCCAGCAAATGAATCAATGCTAATTAAAGGACAATATTAGCATTTTAGGAAATGTGCTTATATGCTCCTTTTAGAAAGTTCAGATTGATTTCCTTCTCATGTTTGTCTTTTATTTGAATGATCACTGCTGGTTAGCTTAGCTTAGGGCGGCAGTAGCTCAGTCTGTAGGGACTTGGGTTGGGAACCAGAGGGTCACTGGTTCAAGTCCCAGTGCGGACCAAATATGGAAGTTGGTCTGGTAGCTGGAGAGGTGCCAGATCACTTCCTGAGCACTGCTGAGGTGCTCCATGACTCTGACTCTGACATCTCTCCCTTAGTGCATGTCCATAAGATCCTGTTTGTGCATGGGTATATTTCAGCCTATGTGTGTGTTCATGACTAACAGAGTGTCATGAACACATGAACACACACCCCTTGTAAATCTTAATCTTAATCTTAGCACAAAGACTGGATGTAATGGGAAACAGCAGTGTCTGTGGCTTTTAAAAACAAACTCCTAGCACTTTCAGCATTTATCTCTAGGCAATATTGATCAGCATATTTAAAAAATGTTTAAGTAGTCCTTTAAGTAAATGGGAACATTTTTATTATTTTAAATAATAGGATTGATGGCCAAAGATGCTCATATATAATCAAGGTTGTGTAAAACTGGTAAATTGTGAGACCGTTGTCTTGCACTGCTCTTTTCATTGACAGTTTCTACTCAATTTATACCCCCAATATTCAATAAAAATCCATTCCTAAAACTTCTTCAACTCCTCAATCCTTTCACTTTTTGTGCCTCAGCCAAATATCTGGTAGTGAACTTTGCTCTCAGACAACTGTTAGAAGTATGGTGTCTGCTGTCTCCTTGTCAGACATCACATTAATTATGCTTTCTTTCTTTATTAATGTATGCTTCCAGTGAAGACGGACCAGCTCCTAACAATCAAAAAGGAGCTGTCACAGATCAAAACCAAGATCGACTCGCTGCTTGGAAGGCTGGAGAAGATTGAGAGGCAACATCGTTCTGACGGCGGTAAGATTTGACAGCACGGGGAGGGGAGGATTTGTCTGCATGCAAACAGATACACACACACACATGGGGAAGGGTTTTGAAATGAAAGTCCCACACATGGCAGAGTGATACAGAAAACATTAAAACTTTATGAATGACCTCAAAAAAGAGATAAGTCACGAATCATGCCCAGATTTTAACTACTAGTTCTCTCTCCATCCCTCTCTCTTTTCTTCAGATATGCAGAGGAAACAAGAGGAGGTGTGTGAGTGTCTCCATGGCAACGCAGTGGACCACTCTGGTGAAGAGGATGTGGAGGGGGCAGCCGAAGTGGAGGCGGGGGAGATGACAGACGGTGGCGAAGACGACTATGAAGATGAAGGCACCAGTGAAATGGTGAGCAAGCCAAGCAGCCATTTACAGTCAGAACAAGTAGTGAGCAGGCTGACAGAGAGAGCAGAGTGTGTGTAAACGTCTTTCAGTCTGGTTTGCATGCCTCCTATTACACCGCTGAGTGTGAAGGGTGTGTGGTCAGTCACTTAAGTGCTTTCATTTACAGAAACGGACCACCTAGTGCATGTATTATTTGACAAGAATTAAGTCGTTATGCTTGGCACAAATATAGTGGTCCAATTTGTGAAATTTTCCTTTTTGGGTGAAAAAATTACAATATCTATACCACTCTCATGTCTACAGCAAATATAAAGTGAAATAGTCAGGTACAGAGTCAAAAGTCACTCCCATCCAAGAAATAGTCAGGTTTTCAAACAATTTTGAATTATTGGCAGATTTCCTCACTTGGTCAGCGCCATGCTAACTGTTTTAAGTCGATATGCTAACCTCAGCTAACTAGCGCAACAGGAAAATAAGTTAAAATAGGAAAAGGACTCTATCTTAGTGGCCAGTTGTAGGAATGGATTAAAATGTGTATCTCATCGGTGTTTCTATCTTTGAATTGCAGATAGAGAACCACATATCAGACATTGACAACTGAGAAAGGTAACTAATTCATCTCTGCTTGTCACAGCATATCTTCATTATATATTTATGTCAATAAAACATACATTGTAGGATAGACTGTCTGGCAACAGATGCACCTCTTTATACCCCCACAGAAACATGAGCTTAAAAGAGTAAATGAGTGTTTTCCACGATCAAGCAGAGCCAGAAACTCCTCTTCTCTTAATGCCTTGTCATTCTCTGTATCTGCGAGCGTAAGGAAAAGCAGCTTCTCAGATTATCAGTGACGACAGTCTGACAAGCTGCGGAGATAGGAGTTTGTCTCATTTGCACTTTCCATCAAAGAACATTTAAATTCAGTGATTTGTCTTTGTATGAACAAATAGCTTTGAGATTTAATTTGCCTCTTGGCTGACATTTCCTTTCCTGCTGTCCTTAAGTGGCCGATAACAGAAATCATTCTCTTCCTCTATGAACGAGATAGATCATTAGGATGATGGTATAATGAACTGTAGGTAGCAGGTAATGTAGTATTGTTTTTTTTTATGTTAGTCACAGCCTCAACACCATTTCTGTGTTCCACTCGAGTCTAAGAACATTTAAATAAAGCACCTAAAAATTAAACTTTGAATCAAACTTGGCTTGAAAAAAAGAAATATTCACCACTTCTTTCTGTTCTTTTCTTCTTTATTCAAGTTGGTAAAGCCTACCTACTGTACAAGAAGTTGGGAGTACTGATACCAGCAAAACCTTCTTCATCAAGAGGGTGTATTTGAAATTAAGAAAGCTATGACGGGAGCGACTGGCAGCTGAAGACGAGTTTCTCAAACTTGTGTGTTGCTAGTTTGCCTGATTAGAACACGGCACTTCTTCATCCAAATGCTGGTTAGGAAATTATCTCCAGACTACTGCAAGATCCACTGCACAGAGAAATCAGTATCCCCCATTCAAACGTATTGCCTCTTCGAAAAACATGGACAATAAATTGTGTGCTTAATATGATATAAACAGGTCTGTATTGTGAATAAAAATACAGTAACATGATCAATCAGATCAACCAGGAACTCTTTTGTTGTACTGCAAATGTTTGTTTTTTTTTGTTTCTGTGAAAACTGTGACCAGCCGTGAAGCCGGCAGAGAGCTAAATATGAATGTAAGAGGAACACCATTTCTTTCACATTGATGTGTTTTTGCTTTTTCTGTACATTTGGTTGATTTGTACAGTATGTAATTTGTTCACATTGCCTCCACATGGTATTGTAAGCATTTCATTTGTTAAAACATTATAAGTTGCTTGTGTTAAACTCTGTGTATGGTTAAAATACGTTGATTATTTTTTATTATCAGCATGTTAAAAATGTGGCTGTTATGGATCATTTGTATTCATTACATCTGTTGTACAGCTATAGATGATATCAGATTTTGAAATAAACCTGTTCCTCCTCCCAAAAAAGGAAAAAAAAACACCCTGCCTGCCTGAGTGTACAGTCTTCTTCTCTGTTAAAAACAACAACCTTATTACACTGAAAGTTATCAAAACTAACTGAACTTTTTATTAGTAACATTGCATGAGCAGCAGATTTTGAAAGTTGCCACCTAACTTAACTTTAAACTTTTCTTCTACTTTCAAAGCAGATTTGGATTTGCTTGCAGCATTACTCTATACATACAAATGTCTTTCTTCATTTACTCAGTCCAGAACTTAAATCCAAACCAAAATATTCCAACAACTAATGGACAGATTTTTTGGTTAATTTCTGTAACGTCCTTTGTAGTTGTCAGAAAAGTAATACTGATTTATCTACAGGATTTATGTCTTTTCCTCTAGTGAAACCATGAGGGTGTCATTTATTGTTTGGAATTACATTTCTCAAATAACTTTTGGATGGACTGCTATCATATTTGATACAAAAAAACTGTAACATGTTTTCTAAGTACTACAGCAGCAAAAAAGGAGCACACTCGACAATGAATAAAGTTTCAGGTGCACAACTGCAAGACTTAAACAGAAACAAAATAAGTCAGCACACTAAATGTCCCTTTTGAAACGCTGATGAAGGCCTAGTGCTGAAACGAGCCCGTTGTTGTTTTGTACGCTACTCTTGCCCTGATAAAATTTATTTGAAGGACATTCAGTGTGCTGAGTTTTTTGTCTCTGTTTCAAAGTACTGTGCTTAAAGTAGATACAGATTTGAGGTACTTGTTCTGTTATTTTTTGCCATTTGGTGCATAATCTTTACACTGTACTTTGCTTCACTACAGCTTCAGATGACATGATATTACAGGTTTTGCTTTTATCTGAAGTATTATAACAATTGATTTACTAAGTAAATACTAAGTACTAAATAATCCCAAACATATAGTTTCAACCAACCCTTAAATGCTACCCCACATTAATGTAGGAGTGATAATTTAACAATGTATTAAGAAGTCTTGAATAATACTTTTAATGCAGTACTGTTTTATGCAGAACTTGCATTAAAAAAAAAGTGAAATTACAATGGGGTATTAGTAAGATGTAAAGCTAAGGATCTAAAGGCTTTATTTACCAGTGCAGAAGTTTGTTTCCACCAGGATGAAGGTTCATATAAGAGGAGTTCTTATTCATTCAACTTAAAAGTAAAAATGAAAGTACCTTAAATCTGTACTGCAGTGGCAGGCTAATTGTACTTAAATCCAACAGACCGAGGAGTAAAATTGAAGTTTAACTTCTGTGATTTTTTCTCCTCCATCTTTAAATTATTTTCCTAACAAATGAGGAATAGCAGGCAGAAATAAAGACAGAGTAACACTCCAGTTTAATTATAGCATTCCTTTACATTAATCCTGCTCTAATTGGCTGTGACATTATTCATCTCTTTTTTAACACAGTGCCCTTGAAAACTCCGGCCTATGAGAGATAAGTGGTGGTGAAGCAGATGGCATTTGTAATTCACTCACTTCATTAGCACCAGATCATCATTTGCACAGGTTAAGGAGGGTCGCTGGCTGGGTTGTAGGTATAATTGGTTCCATCATTGCTGGCTAGAAGCCTGTGAGTACTGTGATCAGTCATTCAGCTCCTCTAATATGGACAATGTTTAACTTGTGATGAACTAAATCAATCACGAGCCTGTAGCTGCTGGAGAAATTAGGAGTATAATAGGGGTCAGGATCTTTTCTAATACATCTGTGATTAGCCCTAGTCGAGTGAAGACGCATAACCTGCAGCAAGACTCATTTTACAGGCCCATAAGTCAAAGACTGAGGTAATCTGAAAAGTTTAATGAAATGTATCTCATAAGAAAAGATAAAATAAGTAATAATTATATTTATTATGTTGCACTTTGAATAATTCAAAAATTGTAAAGTCTTCAGTCAGCAGATTTGTTGGCTTTACCTCTTCATAACCAATTTTACTTTTATTGTAGCAATGTCTCGATTTTTATTTTCAAACTTCTTACACCCTTTAACATGGATACTACTACTGGATAGATACGCTATGTCTCATATTTGATGATGTGCATAATACTTTCAAGTGTTTCTGAAATTTGTGTGACATGTTTTCTAACTTTTATTGGAGGCTGCAAATTCCAGTTGTCATTGTTTTTGTTTTGAAAAGTTTGGTGGGAACATTTCCTCTTGGTCACTTTAGCAGATGGAAAGTGTTGACGGTATTATAATGAGGTTTACTTTAAAGTAAAAGAGGTTTCATGATGGAAGAAAATTATTTTCAGTTTTCTTTGTGTTAAATGCAGCGTTCTATCATAAACCAAAAACTCTTGTTTGACAGGCATTTCTTGTTTTTCCCTTACAACTTGTTTGTTGGTCTTAAACAGCAAACTTCAGTAATTACTACATTTTCGTGTAAGATTGCCGAGAGAAGCAGCTGGGATTTAAAAGGGAATCAAGCAGGAAGATGTTAAAAACTGAACAAAAACAGGCCAGCAAATACGTGCTTTTCTTAGGGAAGTAAACATACACAACGCAACAATGACAATGTCAACACAGTCAACAGTGGATGCAAACAAGCTAGCACACAAATGATGTGTCTGAATAAACACCATAACAATATTAACATATTATATAAATGCTAACATGGTGTATGATTTGGATGTTTTTGTTGTCTTTTCTAAATGTAATATTAATGATATGAATTTAGTTTAAAGCCAGTTAGATAACTTTAAACTTAGCTCTTGAAATTGGAAACTGCAGTGGAGGGAAGAAAAATCTAATCTAAGACAAGATAGTAACTTCTACTGTTTATAAAGCTCACACTATGAAAGCATCAGGCACTATCGCCCTGAAAATTGATCTGTGAGCTTTCTAAACCAAAACAGAGCTCAGGAGAAAGTAGCTGAAGATTTGCAAGAGCCACACATGAACCAAAGGATTCATGTATGTTAAAATAAAATTGTCTCACAAGAAGAGTATTTAGTCTACAGGGAAGAAAGGGTGTTTGAAAATCATGTTGAGCGGCATCTCAGAAAATGTAGAATCCACGGACGTTCATCATTTTTGGAGCTTGCTCGACATCAGGAACATAAATAGATCTGAATATTAATATCAGCCTCTGATGCTTCCATTTTTACCATTTAGTTTGTATGTATTTCTAAAGCTACATAAGTGCAATACTCAATAACTGGGGTGACCCTTTTAAAATACAAACAACCCATCTGACTTACAATTTCTGACCAAGGCCTTTGTCATGTTCTGAAATAATTTGTATACATGTATAAATTTATACACAAATTTATGAACAAAGTGAACAAATTTAGTTATAAGCAGTTAGAGTACATCAGTTTCTTACGTCCCCCTTCTGAAACACGCATCTATATTATATTATGGACCTACTGTAATGTAAATGTATAATGAACATCCATAAAGCCTTATGTATATTATGTAGGTTTTGCTGATTTATCAAACTGTATTGTGGGCTCGTGTTTTTTTTTGTATGGGTGGGATATGTATGTATATATGTGTTGTGTTGTGTGTTTGTATGTATATATGTGTTGTGTTGTGTGTTTGTATGTATATATGTGTTGTGTTGTGTGCTTGTATGTATATATGTGTTGTGTTGTGTGTTTGTATGTATATATGTGTTGTGTTGTGTGTTTGTATGTATGTATGCTGGCTGCTGGAACACCTACATTTCCCTGCTGGGAATCTTATCTTATCTTATCTTATCTTATCTTATAAGACACACGCTAATAGCCCGGATGCAGGAAGTAAAACTTTCCCGGATGTCACCGTTAACTACGTCATGTGAACAGGAACTTGGATACTGGAAGCGGTCGATTCAACTCGTCGCAGGCAACAACAACAACAACAAAATGCTTCTATCAACTTGTAATTCCTGTTTTAGCTATTATAAATAATAATAATGTAATCTCTTGCTTATTCTGCTTTAAAGCCGCACGTTTAACTGTTCGGACTGAGTTTGCCTGAACGCTGATAAACTCTTGCTAACATGCTAGCTGGCTGCATCAAAGTGTTAGTAGCATGAGAGGTGTTTAGTTTTTATCAGCGTGTTTAGTTTATATCTCTTTTTTGTGTGTGCTAACTGTGAGTCTTGAGAATAAAATAGTCTACAGAACAAATAGTTGATAAGTAAAATCACGTCAGCTGGATGTCGTCGTTATGGGAGACAAGGATCTGAGTCTTATAGACAAGAATATAACCAGGTAAAAGTTGTTATTACTCACTACACCTGTTTTCGTTTAGTTCACCTGTAACGTTGCCGTTCCTTGAGTTGTTTCAATGCTTTAATATAGCCAATCATTTGCAAACCGAAAATGCTCCATCACTAAGTGTTGTGTGAGGAAAGTTCACATTTTTTAATATTTAATTTATAACCATTTACGACTCTGTTTTTTCACATTTACATTTAATCTTCCATATTTAATCTTCCTATTTAAGACTAGTAATGCTTAGTTAAATCCTGGTTGTATATATTCACATTCTTATTTTTGATATCTTTTAGTACTTATTTACTTGGTAGTTAATATTATATTATGTTTAGATTTGCAAACATTGTGTTTTTTTACTCATATTGTGTGTTTGGATAACCTGCTGCTGTAACGCCACAATTCCCCATTGGGGTGGTCTATTTCTTCTGTTCACGGCAAACCTTTGTAATAATCTTGTTGTTAATTCTCTTCCCCAACAGAGATTTGAACACTTTGTATACGTTCCCCTCAATAGTCTGCAAAAAAGATGTTTTGATAAAGAAATACTTTCTTTCAGTGGTAATGGGCCGGTGTACGGGGCTGTGTACAAATACATTTTGTGTTGAGTTTCTCATCTCACTTCATTGTTTTCTTTTTCAGTTTGCTGGAAGTCCCCATTAGTCCCACTGTAACATCCCTTAATCTGCACTGCAATCACATCTCAAGGATCGAGGGTCTGACGTCAGCTTGGCACCTGCGGCACTTAGACCTCTCCTCCAATTGCATTTCTAAGATTGAGGGTCTAGGTTCCCTCACTTCCCTGAGGACTCTAAATTTATCATGTAACTTAATCGACAAGGTTGAAGGTGAGTCGTTAGTCACCCTTATAGTTTGAGACTTAGTGCTGCAGCTTAATGGGTGTTCTCTAAGCCATTATTCTTCATTACTGTGTTTTGTGTTTACGCTGACATGATGGGCTTTAAAATCACTCAGTTGTTTACGTCTCCTCCCTTTACCTCAGGACTGAACGGCCTTGTGAACCTAACAAGTTTAAACTTGTCCTATAACCAGATAAACAACCTCACAGGTGAGTTTAATAGCACCTGAACAGTTTTTATTTTTATATATAGAATAGAATCGAAAGTTTATTTATAAAGCACATTTTATTACAGGTAAGCTCAATGTGCTTTACATTGAAGACAAAAAAATGCTCATATAATAACCCAAATGGTGATTGACATGTCAGTCGTCTCATTTAGGCTTGTTATATCTTCATGCCACGGACTTTAAGTTAAAGCACCTCAGTCTCCATGGCAACAATGTGGACAGCATCGACCACCTCCTGCAGTGTCTTCTGGGATTGCAAAATTTAAGAGAGGTCTCTTTGAGAGAGTATGGCAAAGACAACCCTGTGTGTAGGTCATCAGGTAAGAAAAGGGGAAATTCTTTGAGAACAGTTAAAACTTAAGGACCCATATTTTTCTTGTAAATATTGACAATTAACAGAAGAGTCAGAAGCGGTTACATCCGTTTATCCGTGGTACATTTATCTCTCTATGGGTCTTGTGTTCTTGTCTCTTCATAATTGGTTTGAGGGCAGGTTTTATAAATGTGAAAATGTGTCCAGTGTTTTCCTTTAAGTATTGCTGTGCCCTCATTATCCTTATCTTCATGTTCATGATTAATGCACAGCAGTAAGTGTTGAAAGTGCGTGTTTAAATCCATGTGGGCATACTTAAAAGCATTCTTACAACCCACACTGTCAATATGAGTGGATACATCTATATTAGCGGTGCTCATTTCTCATCAGATGAGCCGCATCAATAGTGCATGTGAGGATGTTGAGCGCTGACGAGAGGCTGTTTATTTCTATAGATTATTTGATTTGATGCAACATAACCACAATAACACCAGATGTTTTATCCAGGTCATAAACTCCTTATGTGATTATACTGAATAATGGGGTTTGTGGACAGTCACTCACTTAAATCTTCGTGTGTGTCTGTCTCACTGCAGGTTACAGGGAGATTGTTATGCAGTCGTTGCCACAGATCTCTGCTCTGGATGGCCTGGACCGGCTGGGAAATCCTTCCCATCAAGGTTTAGGGAGTCCCTGTGATATCCCAGGACTGGAGGACTATGTGGACCTCCTACTGTCCTCAGATACCAGTAACAACGAAGCAGTAAGTAGCGATGCCTATTTACCAATGAGCAACTCTTATTTGTCCAGGGAGTCCCTTTTGATGAAGTCAATATTCAGCAAGAGACACCTAGCATAAAGCTGTGAACACTTATTCCAAGAAGATTCCAAACACAGCTTATTTACTAAAGATAAAGATAAACTTTATTGATCCCCCATGGGGGAAATTTGTGCATTACAGCAGCTCCAGAAAACAGGGGACGGGAATATACTTATTAAAAATAAAAATAGAAGTTAAAATCAAATCAAACATATTTACATACTACATTCATATGTAATACAAAAAAGGCATTTTAGATCCATTAAAAAGACAAACTTTACTAAAATTGGGTGTTTTAATAAGGGAATACAAAGGCAATCTTGTAAAGTAGTCCAAGCAAATTGGGAAGAATCTATGTTTATATGAGAGTGTGCAGAAAATCATTATGACTTAGTACTCCTTGAATACTTGAAAACTCTAATGCTAAAGACACGGAAGGTATATAATGGTTATATCTTCATTGTTCAAATGTATTTTGTATCTAAAAAAGTCTTATAGAGACTCCAACAAGTCATGGTCTTGTTCCACAGTTGTACATTTGGATGTTAGAATTTCATAGACACATAGGGTAAAAGTTGAGTCATTTTCCAACATTTCTCCATCCTCTCATTTTCTGAAAGTGCTATTAGAAAAAGAAGGGTCTTTTATCATCGAAAGTGAAGACTGAATTACTTTTTGCCTTCTTGCTGTGATTATTATACCGTCATAGTGAAATCTTATCTCTTTATCAATAAGTTTAAATGTATTGCACCAGATGGCAATATCCATCTGTTTTTCCTATGAGTCAATCAACCAGCTGCAGTGGAGCGTAACACAGCCACAGTGGAAAACCCCGATGTTAGAAAATGTTTCCAGTGAAATGTAAAAAGGGTAATTGAAGTTTTCATTGCAGGGTAGAGGGGATGTTGCTCTCACCACACCCCGCATTGATAAGGTGCTGACCCAGTTTCGACAGAGGATTGCCTCTGAAGCTATCACAGATCCAGTCACACAACCGGATCGTCAGAGCTCCCAACCGTTTCGTTCCACTGAGGCTGATCCAGCAGACCCTGTTAATGAACAACGCATCAGGAAACTGGAGCACCAGGTGTCCCAGCTCATCCAGCAGGTGCATGTTCAACACCAAATACAGCCGATAACTTATTTATGAAGAAGTATTTTTGTGTGATAATATATAAAATATACATACTGAACATGTTAGTCAGTTATTAATAGTATTACGCCTATAGTAGCTAAGGATCCTCTAAATATTTTATAAACCACAAAAATATAAATGGTAATGTTACATAAATTCCACAATTAAGAGAACACTATTCTTAAGCTTCTTCATTGGTGCCGTTAAGAATCTATGTAGATTAAGTATTTGTTGTATAAAAGCAAAATTTTACCTTTGTTACTGCAGGTGTTAATGTTAAGATTTAGCTGCAGTCTTTATATTTAGTAATTTGTTTGTATTTCTTCCAACATATAGACTGATGAAAATTTATTTTTCCTGTGAAATATTATGACTTGTTTTGCAATATTTACCCAGGCTCCTGCAGATGACAAATCCAGTGTTCCTGCTCATCCCGTGGTGACGGTACGGAAGGCGAAGAGGGACACAGATCGTACATCAGAGAGTGAGTGCGACAGTGGGAAGGAAAACAGGAGACGCACCAGGATCCCAAAACATCATAGCAACGTTAAATCAAAGACGAACTCCAAGGAGACGAAGAGCTGCAGATCAGACAGGTGATTCTGCACTAAAAGATATTTCATCTGGCAGGTTAATGACTCTGGAAAGAAACTTTTTCATGTCACTGTTATTTATACACAACCTGATTCTGTAATATTGAAATACATACCAAGCAAAGTTCCAAAATGTTCTCATATTCAACTTTGTTAATGATTTAAGGTGCTATAAGATACTAAATTACAAGCAGGGAGTGTAGCTTAAGATGTTACTATCACATTTATACACTTTCAAAAGTCATCTAACAAAAAAGTGTTTAAAATGTGGGAGTTGAAAAAGCTTTAAATAAAAGCACCATGTGGTAATTGGTATTTGTATTTTCATTCAGCACACTTCATAATAATATATCAGGACCGTTTTTACGGAAATCTTTATCCCTTTCAGCTAAAGGGTTAAAAGTGCTACATTTTCCTTTCTCTGCCATGTCGTTAACTTTCCTACTCTCTGTTAGAAATTACAACTGTCTACTCACTCCTGTGATTAATGGCCATGCCTTTGTGGTCAACCCCCTCATCTTACTTCATCAGCTGCTGATGACATGCTCTCAGGAATCAGTAATTTAACTTAAGTAATCTCCAGACTGTCCTCATCTAAAGCAAGGTGATTTTCTTATATTAGGTCTGAATTCAATTCAAAGTTGTTCAAACTTTGCCTACCTGCAGAAGTAATCTGCTTTGACCTTTATAGAGCCAGACATTAGCTAGAGGGCTTTAATCAATTTCCCAGCTGGCTCAATACTTGTGTTTTGTTTTATGTGCAGCGATCAGGAAAATCATAAACAGAGGAGTTTAAAGTCTGCTAAGGGGACCACAAAGAAGGTTGGCAGTGCAGGGGGTCCAACAAGGAGGGTACCTTTGAAAGCTCCCAAGACCTCCAGCGACATGAGAACAAAATCCACCGAGGACGAGGAAACCTACAGGGTACTGCATGGATAGGTCACCTGCCGAATGAATGGCAGCTTCTATTTTCAATAATTGAATCTAATATGGAAAAGGTCATGTTCACATACTGGAGGGGAGTGGACCTACTTTGTGTCTTTGTTCCCATGTGTTTTTGTAGTGGCTTAAGTAACCTTTAGCCACTAGCATCCAGCAGAGTTGAGGAGCAGGTCATAGATGGCTAATTAGTTCACCTATATCTATTCACATGCTAACATGTGTGTACCATTCAGACTATTGTGGAGGAGCGAGACCAGGAGAGGGAGAGGCGTTGGAAGGCTGAGCAGGCTGTGAGGAAACTAACAGAAGATCTCAAATGCCTGCAGACAAAGGTCAGCGAGGAGAAGGACCTTCAGAGCATGGCCCTGCACACCACTGACAGGCAAGAGGACACATACGTTACCTCCACAGGAATCAGCTCTATCTCTGAAGCAGATATTATGGGGAAAAAGTTAACATGTTTCTGTGGATTTTACTTGTCAAATGCATAATGGATTCTCACCCACTTTCTACCCTCTTCATCTTTTGTTTTGGCTCTCTTGAGACCCGGTCCTACTGCCTGTTTCATTCTTGAACAATGAGTATCCATCCAACCATAAAAATTATCATTATCACTGGTCCCGTAAAGTCTCATGAAATCATCTGGCTCCATTACCCCTACAGCATGCCTGCAGTTGTCTGTGATAATAACGCTACTTAGTATAAAGATCATTAGCCTACGCATCCTTCCTGCTTTTAATGCTTTATATTTAAATTCCAGAGGCTGTAATTATCCATAATTAAATATGCCTATCGCTTTCCCCACACGTGTGAAAGAATTTCTCTGTGTGGGTTCTTCCTCCTGCCCCGCACAGATAGAGCCATGTGCAGCTATAATGCACATTATTCTTGGTTGCGTCACACCCTGCTTAGATAAATCTGCATTATGGCTGTAATTAGAGCCTGGTGACAAGCATATGTCAGCATTATTACATGAATCAATCTTAACTGACACTTTCTAATGACACAGAACGTGCCTGCTTCTATTAACTCCCTCGCTAATCAGGAGATAGATTACAGAGAAGGGACTCATCGTACTGTAGGTGGTCTCACGCTCTTTGGGTTTCATAGTTGTAATGTGCATCCTGAATTCTCCTGGCTTGTTTTTTTTCTCTTCTCCCCAGGATGCCCTTGTATGTGTTGCTGTTCCCCCTTTCTCACTCTCTCCACATTTCCATTTTCTCGTCCTTGAGATAACATTTCGACTATCTCTTATGTTAGATGCACTCAATTTTAAAAGCTGTACAATTTTAATAGTGGGACATAAAACATAAAGGGTTATCCCATAGTTGGCTGTGGTTACATACCAATTTACATACACAATAACAAAAGATGCTTTCTCCCCATTTAGACTGAAAGAAATGTTGCTAAAGGAGCGATCGGGGCGATCTGAGCTGCAGACTCGTGTTGAGGAGCTGGAGGGAAAGTGTCAGTCTCTAACCCAGCAGCTGGAGAAGGCCCGCAGCAGTGAAGAACAACACAAGACTTCACTGTGCAGACTGGAGGAAAGCAACTCCCATGGAGAAGCACTCAGGGCTCGCAGGCAGGCTGAGGAGGTAGAGAAGCTGGTTTAGTATGCCTGAGAGCACACGTTTCACCATATTGGTACAGCTAGTTTATATCGAGTCATACAGGGGTAAACATATGCATTCTCTGTTACCTATAACTGAACACATTCCTGTGAACCCATCATTTTTTCATAATATTGTTTAACGTCCTGCATAATGAATAAATGTAGACAGGGAAGTATAAGGCAATACAGGGTCGTTTGGCTCTAACAGTATGTGACAGGCTGCTGTAAAACGTTGTCTCTTTCTTAAGGTGAAGCGACAGCAGGAGCTGGAGAACAAGGCAGCCGCTCTGAAGAGAGAGTTGGACATCCAGAGAGCCTCAGTGTGTCAACATAAAGACAAACTACAGCAGCTGCATGAACTGCTGGCATGCAGAGAACAAGAGCACAGGTTTGAATTTGAATTTATTTAATAGAAGACAATGTAATTTAACATAGTTTCAATACAAAGCATGAAACTGATGTGCTGCATAAAGGGTACTGTATATAGCTATTGCTAATTTCCAACTCGTGTCCCTAGTTGGGCCTTTGGGTAAACAAACAGAGTAAACATGTACAACATTTGATTTTGGGTAAAGCAGACTGGTTTTAAGTGTAAAGGGTTTAGTAGGAAAATAGTGATGTGCTGTATTTAAGTGCACTAAATAGTATTAGAATCAAAACGTGGTGACACTTGTAGGCTTGTTTGTGTTTGATAAACAAAATTTGTTGAAACTACAACCAGATAGTTCGGGTGAAGCTTCATTGCAATGTTTTGAGTATTAAACCACTATGCAAATTAACCAAGCAATGCCATTAATCAAAAGACGTGCCCAAATGAACCATGAAACTTTATTGCCTACCGTAAACTTTCTCCTTTTCATCCTGATCACAAAGACATTTCTTCATAACAGACTCTCAGTAAGAAGAGACATTTATTTCCTAGAAATTGTATTCCAAGGTTTATCACTTGAAGCCCCAGCAGCCTGAGTTAGACAAGTCAACCTGTTCTCCACACAAGCTCAACATTAAAACATTAATGACAGGAAACACGAAGCAGCAACCTCAGGTGAGTGCAAAAACTGTAGTTCCTCGAGTCTCCACTTGAGGCTGGCTCCAGAAACAAAGGAAACTCCATTAGAGCCCATATTGAAATGTCCATTTTAACAGCAGAATCAAACATGTTTACAGCATGGTATAAAAAACTATTTTGATCCAGAGACATTTCTTTATTTGTTAAAAAACTGAAATGGGGTGAATTCTTTATGACTCATCCGTATGGATTATATGAAGGATAAGTGCATACATTCAAGGCCCACCTCAACTCCACCTCTTTGCCTGTTGGTAGAATGATCAAAAGTTAGGCGGAGATAGCTTTTCCAATATGGCGACCACCATCGCTGGGCTCAAAACGTCTCTTAAGAAACCAATGGGTGACATCATTGAGACTCAGCCATGTTTTATTCAGTCGATGACAAAGACAAAGCTTTTGATTGGCATATCATTTTGTTTTTATAAGGTTTTTTAATCTCTTTTAACATTCAGTGTAAATTAGTGTTAGGACTTGTATAGTTTGATTCACATATTATAATGCACCATCCGTGTTTGCCTTGTTTCACAGAAAACAGCTGGAGTTGCGGTTGCAGCCTGGTGGGGCAGATTTCCATGAGGCAGTGTCCAAAGAAGTTGCATTAGTTGAACAGAGACTGGCTCACAGGGAGGCAGAGCTGCAGGAGAAACTGGCGGAAGGAAGGAAACATTACGCTGCTCTGGAGGATGAGTTCCGCATGGCGCTAACCATCGAGGCCGCTCGCTTCTCTGAGGTCTGCTTTAAACATGAAAACATGGCATACAGATGACCTGTAATCAATGCATATTTGTCCTAAATTTTAAATCTTTCCACTTTTACACAGACCATCTCAAAATGTATGACTGTCCTGTAGGAAATGGAAATGATTGAACTGGAATTGAACCCAATCTAGTTAGACTGCGGATTTTTTCAGCATGATGAAAGCTGAGATTGAATAAGATCATCACTGGAGAAGTAGTCTGTGATTGCCACAGGAAGAAAGCATTACAAAAAGATTGGATTTTTATCAATCACTTTTTTGTTTTGGTTAAAGGTTTTTTTCTTCCTGTGCATGAAATGTAATCTAGTCTTGATTATTGCAGCTTTCACAGTATTCTACTGTACTGTGTGTAACATTTGACTTTTAGAAACCTTAAATAAGACACAAGTCGACAAGACAAACAAAAACAATAAGTCATTGTAATATGTCTTTATTTAAACCTATAGCTCTCCAAGATTTTCTGTCAGACCTGTAATGATGAAATTGTCAAGCCAGTAAATGTTAACTTTATTTGTTGCTGGAAACTTTCAGAACTTGTTACGTACCAATACTCTCATTCAAAATACAACAGTCTGTAAAAATCCTGGATATTTCATTCCACATCCTCTCTCTGCCTCTGTAGGTGAAGGAGTCCTGTGATCAGATGACTGCAGAGCTTGTCGGGGTCAAGGCGACACTAGCCAAGTCCCAGGAGAGGGAAAAGAAATCAGGCTCTCTGGTGCAGGAGCTTACAGCCATGGTCAAAGAACAGAAGAATCGCATCTCTGAGCTCATCAAAGCCAAGAGAGACGCTGTGACTGATCTGAAGGTACAACAGTTGAGTCTAAGAGAGAAAGATCAAACAGATTTTTTAAGTGCTGCCTTTATCTCCTTTAAGATTGATTTTTCTGATCAGGTAGATGTGTAGAGATAATCACTTATCTACATTACTCTTTGCCCTTAAAAAAAAAAGGTTCATACCCAGCCTGCAGGATTCATCAGGAATGCACAATTGTCCTGCTGCCTTTCCATCTGGGACAGATGAGCGATGATCATTAATACTGTCTCTCTGTCTATCCCTCTGACAGAGCCGCATGCATTCTTTGGAAGCAGAGGTTGAGCAGGACCGGCGTCTCAGCCTGCAGCTGGAGTTGCTGAAGAAAGACAAGTCTCGACTGTTGTCTCAACTCACAGCTCAGGAGTCGGTGATCGATGGCCTGAGAGCAGAGAGGAGGATCTGGGGTCAGGAGCTCGCTCAGCAAGGTGGAAAAACATCCATGGGGGAACTTTTTCTTTACTTTAAATGAACCTCATACTGCATGAGACATATAAAAATCAACAAACACTTTCACAGGTCTTCCATTGGATTCATCTAACTAGAGAATGCATTAACCAGGGGAAAGCTTCTTATTGGCTGTTGGAAAAGATAGCAACATTTTACATTTTTATGGTTTGACTTAAGAGTTAGCATGAAGAATATTTAATTATTTACTTGCTGCTGTTTCAAGTAAAGTCTGCCATCTAGTGGCTATTTGGAAGAAACACACTCAAACAAAAAATCAGGATCCCTTAAGGCCTTATAATGAGATAGAGAAAAGGAAAAACAAAACAGATATGAAAGAAGAATTTCGCCAAATATTTTTTATTGATTTAAAAAATGAACAAGAAAATATACTAAGGAATAGTATAGTTTAATTTTAAGCCAATTAAACCAATTCTACACTTTTATGAATATTTTTTGTAGGAGCGTCCTTGGCTCAGGATCGTGGACGCCTGGAGGCCAGGATCGAGGTTTTGAGCACTGAGTTGGACACTCAGAAGAAACACAGCGAGAGAGATATTGATGCCCTAAAAATCAAATCCAAAATCATAGATGACCAGACAGAGACCATCCGCAAACTCAAAGAGGTATTCAACAACTGATTGCTAAAGTCAGTGTGTGTTTTTAGTAAAGTAAACCAACAATCTCATCATTCTTATGAGCTAGTAATCAAATGTTCCTATTTGTGTTCTCTTCAATGGGAATTCTACATGCATGTTGATGTGTATTTGGTAACATTTTGATCTTATTCTGCTTTTATTTGCCTCACACTGGAGTAATTTCTCGTATGCGCTCCTGCTGTCTCAGGCCCTACAGGAGCGTGATGATCAGATCCGTAGGCTGCGTGAGGAGGCAGTGAAGGCCCAGAAGAGGTTCCAGCAGCAGCTGGAGGAGGAAACCGCTCGGCAGGCTGAGCTGAGGGAGCGGGTGGAGCATCTGAGCCTACGCAAAGAGGAGTTAAAACAGCAGCTGGAGGATAAAGAGGAAGAGTTAGCGGAGGTCAAAACTGTTTACAGGCAAGTATTTCAAAAGAAACATAGACATGCCGGCATAAAATTCTGCATGTTTAGTATATATAAGAGTGTTGTTGATATAATAACAGGATTTTTACTTGATAGGATAAAATGAAGTTGTACTATAGAGCTTCCAATGAAACCCAAACATTCATGATTCATGCGGCTTATCACAGTTCTCTACTGAAGTTGAATTTTTCTGTGTTTGCTTAGTGATTCCAGTAAGAAGTGGCAGGAAAAGGCGGGGCTGCTCACTCGGCTGGAGAGCCAGGTGAAGCGCATGAAGGAGAACTTTGATTCCAAGGAACAATTGCTCCTGGAGGAGAGAGATAAAGCAACAGAAGCACAAAAGTATAGTATTCTCACCATTTGATCAAAAATGAAATGATAATGTTTACATAACCCAATAGAGACGAGGGCATACACTAGTGGAGCATTAAAAAACATTAAGTGGTATTTTATCTTTTTACAAAAAGTACATAGAAAAGTGTTGGTACTTTAAATAAAGTGTTTTTTTTCATTCTTTATCTTAATGTGTATGGGAGTATGTGAACACATGCTTGTCCTGTCACTGTTCACCTCCTGGAAACAGTTTAGAACAGCTCTGCAGCTCTCCCTTACCCTGGAAAAGTTATAATCTTGGTCAAGAAAGATAATACAATACTTGGTTTCCAAATCCTAAAAAAGTCTTTGGTTCCTTGAGAAGTTTGGGTCTGTAAAAGCTAACAATATAAAATTAACACTATTCCATTTCCATCCTTAACCAAGAAGAGAAATAACTTGAAAGACTAATATCTGTAATGAAATAATACCTATGTAATTTGGTTCAAATCATGACCTATATGTGTGAGTTAAAACAGAAGCAGTAGTGAGTGCTAATATATAAATAAATGAAATCAAATATGTGAAGAATGGGGCTGACCTCATATGCACATGCTTGTCATATAAACACCGACAACATCTTCAAGATGCTTTACTCGATGTTTGTTTTTTGTCATCTGTCTGGCAGAATTGCATCGGAGAAGTTACGATGTGTTGATGATGCATTTCGAAGACAACTGGAATCAATCCAAGCTGCTCATCAAGCCGAGCTGCTACGACTGGCGAACGAAAAGCAGAAACAGATTGAGCACGCCAATCAGAAGGTAAAACACAGACACTTCACTAATGCCTGGTTTTCCTACAAGTAACAGAGACTAACAGACTCTCACTCAAAAGGATGAAGTGTTAATCTGTTTTAAGTAAATATAGATCATGACTCTGATTGAAATAGTTGTGCCTGATATTGTACATAAGTCTGATGTCATGTTGCTTCATTGAGCTCAAAACTACATTTATGTGGTTACTAATGGTTTCAGGACTCTGTTGTTTAAGACACTGAGATTCTTCATTTGTATAATGACAAAGATTTGTCATTGAAGAAGCAGAGGATTTTCTGGCACAACTTCACCAACTACGAAGGTGCATGAAGAGTGAATGACTTGAAGAGGTAAAAAAGCTCCAGCAACACTGGATGACCCTTATGAAGGCAACAAGCCTGTCTAATTTGTTAATAAAGTTGATCTTCATACTACAAGTGTTGCTGGAGCTTTTTGACTTCTCAAAGATTTGTCATTAAAAATAATTTTGACACAGCTGATAATTGATCTCCCGTGGTCCTCTGTTAATCTCCCAAAATCTGTATATAACTATGATATTTCTTTTAAAAAATAACAAGAAAAAGGTGAATGTGAGGAAATAAAAAACCTGTCATACTAATTTTCAGTTTGAAAATTTCCTGTCTGAAACTGGCGTCTGTGCTTTAACTTGTCTTACATCCATCATCTTGATTCCTAGTCATTTTTTTTGTTTTTATCCTTAAAGCTTTAAACGTCTTAAACAGCTCCAATACGAAAACAAACTAGTTCAAGGACTCTGTACTGATTACTATACTGATCTGTGTTATGTCTCCTCTTCAGGTTTTTGAAGTGGAGAGGGAAATGCGTCAGCTACTGGAGGAGACAGAAATTAACAAGAGGATTATGGAAGAGAAAATGAAACGTCTTACAAGTGTACTAAAAGACTTCTAACACGAGATATGTTTCTTCAAGGAGCTACGGCAAAGTAAAGATATGAGCAACCCATAATGGTTGTACAAAGTATTTTTTGTTAATTATATTTATTTTATTATATCATGATTTTTCTAATAAATTCTTTGAAGAGTATTTTTTTTAAATGTTATCTATAAAATTGTGTTTTCACAAATTCAGGATTAGAATCTGGGGTTTGTTGGAACTAGTAATTCAAACAACTTGATTTGATAACAAAGCGATATAAAAAGGTATCAACATTTTTTTTAAATATAAGACATATTAAAAACAAAACGTTTTTTGAAAAGCTGAAGGATGTAGAAACAAAATGGACACATCTACCTCAGTTTAACTTTTTTGCAGTTACCTGCATTTCTAGATAAATCTATCTTAAAAATTAAATTACAATCTCTATCATTCAAATGAGGAGTGAGTAGTACATAGATGTGATAACAATGAATTAACTCTTGACACTGCAAATTTTACCATAAGAGGGGTTTAAAAAATCGCCTTTGCTAAAGTAACAGTATTGCAATGAAAAAATACTGTTACTAATTCAAAACAATACTTAAAATAAACAAAAGACAAACTACAAAAACGTGCTTGTGGAAGATGCCTCTATTCAAAGTAATACTTTTATTATTTAAATACCTAATTACAAGTATGAATACTCTACTTTTGCTTAATCTACAACAGTGACGTTTAATACGTAGAATTGGAAAGACATAATTTATATCGGAAAGGATAATAATTGATCGAAGAGATGAGACGTGATAATCCCTTTCTAAAATTTAGAGGAAAAAAGTGAACAGAAGCATTGAATAACTAGTGGAGTACAAGTATCGTAGATTTAATTTTTGCAGTATATTACTTTCCACTTCGATACACATCGAGCTCAACTAAATTTTTCAACTATTTTTTTGTTTGTTTGTTTTGTTTTTTACATAAAGTCAGCTATTTTTTGTCTCAAGTCAACAAAATTTGACCAAATTTGTCAACAGTATGCTATACTAATTTAAACAGAATATTACAACAGAATCACTATATCACATGATAAGATTTATTGATCTGAATATACGATTAAGATTCTACCAGTAAATAGATGATTGTTTACTCGGTCCGGTTAAAGAGGGGAGGGCGGGGTCAAATTCGGGTTGAGGAGGGGCATCGCTGACAGTGAGGGCACGTTAGGAAAAAGAGTTGCCGTGGCAACTGTACCCTAACGTAACGTCCGTTGATTTACCCTACAGGTACCGCCGTCGTGCTTCTGAGGACACGAGAGTAGTTATGTGAAAGTAAAGAAAAGTCTGTTACAGTAGGTGAACACAGAAAGCTAGTTTAAAAAAAAAAAAAGTACTAATATCTTTCACAGAAAGAAGATGGAGTTTGAGACGACGGAGACTGTACGCTCAACACCGAGTCGCCATGAGAAAAGTTTGGGGCTCCTGACAATGAAGTTCGTCAGTCTGCTTCAAGAAGCGAAGGATGGCGTCCTTGATTTGAAAGTGGTCAGTGAAACAACGTTGGCAGGCGTCGTGTTGATGTGTGTGGGGTTTTACTGTGGGGGCACATTTGAACGGGTTCCTTCAAGAAAGTGAACAAAGGACTGCCAGGGAACCAGTCAGGTGCATTGATCTTCTGAACAGGTGGACTAGCTGGCCGCCATTACCCCCTAGCCTCCTCGTTTGTGGGTTAAAAACATCAATTTACAAGCAGTGAAGGAGCTTTACTATTGGTCAGAGTGTAATGTAGCTTGCCGCTGTTAGGTTTTACACATTAATTAAACTCTTACTGTGGATTTAAAGTGATGTGAGGGTTCCCGGATACATTATTTCTGACTTATCTCCTATTTAAAGATTTTAGGTAGTAAAAAAAAAAACGTCAAAAGGCATGTGGCCTAAACTGCAACATAATTATAATTGAGTGTATTGAGCATATATTATTGAGCCTCTTTAAAGATAATTAAAGCCTAATATAATCACAGTGAATTTAATTGCCAAGTCCCTTGATACCCTCTTTTAATGACCTGGGAGATCCCCAGAGGCCGTGTAAGGTGGGAAACCACAACATTTTATCTCCTGTTCAGTTTGACACCAGTCTGGCTGACAAGCACAGATGTTCCTGATCCCTTTTGAGCTTACTGGGGCTTGATGGAAATGTTTTACAGTGTCAGATTGAAGAAAAACATGGTCAAAACGCTGACAGATAATTTACTTGTCTTTGTTAATCTTAATTGTGGACTTATGGAAGTTAACATCCTGCCATGAGTTCAAATAGCGTTCTGTAAACAGCTCTTTCTGAGCTCTAATGTTTTGACCTCTGGATGTGACTTTGCTAGACCTACCTGAAGTGTCTTCCACAAATTTACCTTCTTTTCATCTCACTATCTGATAAGTAGTTTTCCCTCTCTCCTTGCGCGCCAAAGCTGGGTAATGTTTACACAGCAGGCTCCTTACACCCTCTTCCAACCTCCTTCCTCCTCTGCTATTGTGTAACTGTCCTCTCCTGCCAAAGGCTCTGATTTTCTGTTTGTGCAGCTTAATTTGCCTAATCCTTGATTTCAAGTCTCTTTTTTTTTTCTATTCCACCTCACATGTTTGCAAAAGAAATATTAGGTTTCCTATTAAAAGTGATTCATCTTGAACTTGAAGAGTTCATATAAAGCTGCAACTGAGTGGGCCACTTCATGTCTGTGTGAATCAACAGGCTGCAGACAGCTTAGCAGTGAGGCAGAAAAGGAGGATATACGACATCACCAACGTGCTGGAAGGAGTGGGGTTGATTGAAAAGAAAAACAAGAACATAATCCAGTGGAGGTTTGAAAAATTATTTTCTATTTTTTTTCAACTTTTTGACATTAAAATGCCTTCAGTATTGTTGAGCTCTTGAAAGTTGTGGATGTGAATTTCTCACTTGCTATGGCACATAAAAAACAACTAGGAAAACAAAACATGACTAGTTTATACCTGAATTGACACCTCACATTTTTGCCTTTTCATATGTAACCTTCCCCGGGTCCAGGGGAGAGAACTCAGGCAGCCAAACTCAGGAGGTGCAGGAGCAGGTGAAGGTTTTGAAGGGCCACATTTCTGAGCTGGATGCCCAAGAGAAAGAACTCGACAACCAGAAGGCATGGCTGGAGGAGAACATCAAGCAACTGAACCACGATCCCCTCACTAGTACATATCCTTTTTATGACAACTGGGATCAAACAGAGATTTTTTTCTTGTATTAATTTAACAATATTTGTTCAGTGTACTGTTTTAGTTTAATCTCTTTTTACTTCTTTACTTGTCTTTAAATTGGAGTGAACTATTTGTACTTTTATGTAACATGTCATGAAGTTAGAGTTAAAAAAAAAAAATTGGATCTTGTTTCTTTCAACAGTTTGTTACTCGAGTCCAATTTGGGCCTCATTCATTCTTACGGACCTGGGAAAAAATCCCCCCTTTATCCCCTTTCACAGTCTTTGCTTGTTAAACAGAGAAAACCCTACAAAGGGAGGATTATGAATATAATTGCTATTGTCAGTCTCCATTGTGCTGTAGCAGCCAGGTTAATCCTGACTTCCATAATACTCATTCTTGTTTTTCTACTTCATTGTCTCCATTTCACTACCTTTAAGAAAACTTGCTCCCTGTTTCCTTAACTCTTCTCCACTTATAAATTTGTGACTCATGAAGACATCTGCAGTGCCTTCAGCGGAGACACTCTTCTTGCGGTGGTGGCTCCTGCTGGGACTCAGCTGGAAGTACCCCTACCTGAAATGGTGGGTCAATTCTTCAAAGTTAATTGAGATGCTTTTGCTTATTCTGTACAGGCTGTTGGTTATGTGCTTTAAAACCAGTGGCTCAGTGGTTTCGGGCCAAGCTTTTGATCCAGACTTGGGCCAAGATTCCAGACTAAATTAATGGATCTTTTTTTATTTGAAGACATCAAACCTGCAGCCAGTTGAGGGCAGTAGAAACATGGTGTGAACACAACAACAGAGTTTTTTTATGTTAGAAAAGCTTACTGCAAAGGCTGGGAATGATTCCATGAGAGCAGTGAATTTGAACCAAAAGATTGCAATTTTAGGCCAAATATGTTTAAATATGTCTAAAATAATCAGTTGTGCTTTTGTTTATTGTAACATTGACTGATATTTTTGTTGTGATTTGTTTCTTCATGTGATTCATTGTGCATATTTAAACATTAAACACATGTGAAGTTCTAGCTGGTGTAATAATGATAAACTTATGTCCTTAATCTTTCTCCTTAGGGTCATAGTGGTCAGAAGAAGTACCAGGTGAACCTTCGCAGTCACTCGGCTCCGATCCAGGTCATGCTCATCAACAAAGATTCAGACTCTGCAGTACCTGTGGTTTTCTCTGTGCCCCCCACTGACGACATCTGTCCAATGCCAACTCCACCCAGTACCCCTGCCAGCCTGCAAAGGTTCCCTCTCACCTCATCACAGTACTCTACCTCCAACATCACCTCTTCCTACTGCAGCCAGGACTCTCTCTGCTCAGACCACCAGATGGTGCTGCCAGAACACGATGACGTGTTGACGCCATCGTCCAGCCCTCCAGATGTACAGATGGGTAAGGAAACAAACTTTGAGATTTTTGTTCCTCTGTAAGGTACTTCAAAGTGACTGACTAGTGAACTCACACTGCAGGATGGTAAGATCATCCTGTGTGCCAGAGGAAGCAATGTACAAACTGAGATGATCTCATGTGATTTCTCTTGATCTCATGAACAAGCAGATGTAAAAAAAGATAAGAGAGGAGGACAACAGACTTGTTAGTTATGCTGGGCACTGAGAAGAAAACAGGAGTTGAATGCTTAACAAGTCTGGATCAGGAAATGCTGTGGAGACTTAGTTTATAGAGATGTCTATTGAAAGTGTTTGTTTATGCTTAAAAGTAGCTTGCTAGCCTAAATTATTTTGTTGCTTGGTAACACAATCAATGGCTCTTTCACCTTTTCTCCTTCTCAGTCTTGTTGGCTAGTGTGGTCAAGATTTAAAAATACTCTCTTAATTAATTCAGATTTAAATACTGAAATATCAACAACAACAATATATTGGTGGCAGCTCCGATTAGTCTGCTAGCTGGTTTGGATGTTTAATATTGGATTTATGAACTATGGTGGCCCTAAAGGCCAAACATATTGAATGAAATGCGAAATCATTAAAAAAAGTAATTTCATGAAACACCATAAAATTTCACCAAAGAATATTACAGGAAATGCTGAAACGTATCATACCAAGCAAACATTTCATTAAACACATTTTACAAAACGCAAAAAAAAAATCACAAATCACAGAAGAATAGAAGAAAATGTTAAAATATTTAATCAAACCAAAAATAAAAGGAAACGTGAAAATATTCACAAAACACATGAACATTTAATGGAACATAAAGAACATGTCATTAAATGAGAAAGAAATTCATGAAACCAAAAAAACATTTCACAAATTTGAAAAATACACTTTCAGGAAAAGCAAAACCATTCATCACAATGCAACCAAATAAACATTTCACAAATGTAGAAATCTTTTATAAAATGCAAATATTGGCAAAAAACAAACAAACAAAAAAGCACAAAAAACAATCTTTTTGGGGGAAAAAATCATAATAAACTACTGAAGTATCATTAAAATTCAAATGTTTTCTACAAACAGAGGAAAATACGCCACAATATCAGAAAGAATATAAGTATTTACGGTAACCCTATGGGAGCTTGTGAAAATAAATAAAAAAATTGGTTTTATTTTTTTTTCCAAAAATGGTTAAAAATAACAACCAAAAATAGGCCCCAATTAAAAAATAATCCCTTGTATGTTAAATAAACAGCAAGAAACCTTGTCCTACACTAACCCCAGCTCTGTCACGCTGAGACGCTTTCATTTTCGTTCCTCAAAGCTTCTGCCAGATTCATGCTGACTAACATCCTCCACCCAATGAGTCACAGGACGTTGCTCCCACTTATAGCTGACATTTATTAATTTTGGTTTGTGTACCATAAGAGTCCACAGTGATGTTTTTCGCTAAACACACACTGCTTGTTTTACTTAAATGAGAGGAGAGATGGCAGACAAACTCACAACACGCTAATGGAGACCCACCCAGAATGAGCATTCTTTACGAATATATAGGATAAAAAAGAAGTACACTTATAAGCAGAGATACATTAACATAACATTGTATTAAGAAAAATCCAGTAACCTAGAATTGGAAATCAGGAAATTAAACCTGAGGATACATTGTTAAAAAAAACTGCTGTCATTGAATAAATCACATGAATTAGTTGAGTATTTATTTCAGAAGCTTGCCGTCTATCAGCGGACTAAAAAATGTCAGATGTCCGCCTTTCCTGCAATCAAGGAAATGTAAAAAAAACAAAACCTCCCAGCTTGCATGTGAGTATCATGTTGCTTGAAGCAAAGTTAGAGTGCTATGTCAGTCATCAGAGCTTACATAGTCTGTGCAATACCATTATATTAGGGGGGTGGGCCGCCCCCCTAATATAATGGTAGGGGAAACACTGTAGTTATCTGTTTAACATGGATAAGCCTTGCAAATATCCCATCTTGCTATGTTTGTTATTGTAGTCTGTTATTTCATGTTTTTGCGCTTTTAAGAGGATTGCAGGGGGGGAAGTCATCTTGTCCGTATCTCACACATGACAACCTGCACCCATTTTGCCACCCAGACCACAAGACTGTGACTGTTCCCTGATCAAGTCATGGGAAATTACAAAAAAATACAAATCTACATAATAGTCTTCCAGTATCTTTGACAAACTCACCACTTCCTAATCTGGTTTTAGGTTTATAAGAAATATATTTGTCACTGTTATTCTTAGTATATACGCAAGCAAATATAAAACTGGGTAAGATGCTTCAGCACTGTTACAGTGAAACATGAAGTCATAATGTCTTCCTGAAGAAAATGAGGAAATAACACAGCAGCAGCACAGTGAATATAAACTGGTGGATTATTGACTGTTATATATCACAATTATGGTACAGATGACTCTTCACAAAGGGGTTCGGCCAAGAGGCTATAGTTTAAGACTGGTCAAAGGTGAACATTTGTTGGACAATTATTGCTTCAGTGTGAATACAGTAGTTGAGTTATTAATCGTGCAAAGGCAAACTTAAATCCTCACACTAATCAGACCCTGTGTGTACAGGTACGTTTTGTTCAGCTTGCTTTACTGTATATCTTAGTGCTCTCATTGATGTCCCATGCTCACTGCAGAGTGTCACAGTCGGTCATCAATCATATTTGAGCAGCATCAGCTGGATCTGGAGGACCCGGATTTCCAACCTGTTCTGGAAGTGAGCAGCCTGCTGAAGCTTAGCGCTGCCGGAGACCACATGAAGGATGACAGAGAAGGTATGGCACAGGGACATAAACACAGTTCCACAAAACAAAAAGCAGAGTTTATTCTATACTCTCAGCTTGTTTAAGGTTAGAGTTTGTATCTCTAGCTTCAGTACTTGGAGCTGTAAACATTACTGCTGATTAATAATAAAATCCCTATATATGCTACTTAATTTGAGTTTATGTTACATAGGTTTTAAAAGTTAAAGTTTCACAATAATATGACTTACTTTTTTCTGTCTTGTAGGAGCTGTTGACCTGATTGATGAGCTAATGTCTACTGATGGTGAGCGTCTAAACCTGCTTTAGCTTACCTTCACTTTATCTCTTGCTCAGTCTTTTTGGCTTTTATGCTCAAGATTTAAAAGTACTGACTTAGTTAACTCAGATTTCAATTCTGAAATATTAACAACAACTATATTTTTGTTACAGCAACGATTAATCTGCAAGCTGATTTGGAGGTTTAATATTAGATTTCTAAACTATGGTGGCCCTAAAGGTCAAACATTTCACAGTTTTTCCGACACTTTCAGAAAAGTCAAGGATCAAAGGTTCTATTTGTAAAATTTGAATGCAATCCAATCAACAGTTTGTCAACCAAACTGGTTGACCATTGTTGTCTTCCCTGGAGCTCTGTTGCAGGCTTGTCTAAAAACTTTACCTACAGTCTTTCTGTCTGTCTTTGCCTTAAACATGTTTTCAAGGTCTATTTCCATATTATTTCTCCTGTATCCTCAAACAGGTATGTACTACAACTTCAACCTGGATGACAACGAGGGAGTGTGTGACCTTTTTGATGTGCAGATCCTCGATTACTGATGTCAAACAGAGCCTGTACTGTTTGCTAATACGACACACTCCAAGCCCTTTTCTGTTCCAGTTTCACAGATGATAAATCATACATTAAATTATCATCTCTAAAATCCATCTAAAACTATTTGCCATACAACTTTATTTTAATGTACTGGCCTTTTTCCCCTGAGCCAACATCAAACAAAGTGCCTGAAAAAAGAAGATCGAGACATTCATGCAGGCCAGATTCCTTTTTTTTATGGTTTCCTGAGTGAATATCTACATTGTTCGTGAGGGATTAGATGCCTGAGTGGAAGGCAGCCAGCACAAATCCCTTAGCCTCCTACTTCTGTTATGCATGTAAATACCTTTTATATTGTTTTGTATCAGTTGGTAACCAGAGATTTGGACCGTTTTTATTTTCTGTAGTTAATGAACAGCTTGTGACTGTTGTGCTTGAGTCTATTTTGACAATAATTCACAACATGTACAAGGTTATGTACATATGTCACTTTCTTTACATTGAGAGTTAATTACATTTTTATAAAAGAGGTGTATTGTATTTAAAAGTGAATATTTTGTTTACATTTTGTAAATTTGTTCTCGTGAAATGCTGGAAAGTTTTCTTTTTTAAATTATTGTGGCACTGCCGTACTTGGCCTCGTTGAGTTTTTTTTTTTATCCATATATCTTATAATGAAAGGTATACATTTGATTGGGAAATATTTTTTACTTAATTTAAAACAATTTTTTGTTTGTTCTAGTTTGTTTAAGCTGATGCTAGTTGACTGCCTTAATTTATTATCTAAAATTGAATATGTTTTTGATCTGAAAAATCCAAAGTCGAGAACCATAAGTGCCATTTTTGTATAGGTATAGTATTTCACACAAGAAATTACTTTTTTCTGTACTTTTAATTTGCAAATTTCTTCAAAGTTTTTCAATAAAAACATTGGTCTTGATTTGAAACTATTCATTTCTGACAAATAAGTGATTTAGAGAATGACTTCTACATACACAGAAGACTTGTTTCACCAAACAATACCTTACAGTTTATCTCTAAGTTGAAACACCTTTTTGTTTTTGGCAGACTAAAATGTTCAGTTAACAGATGGAAAACTTCAAATGGTTTCCACATGAGACTGAAGTTCCAGATCCTGACCTGCAGCAACACTTTATAAATCACTGAAGCTGTACCAGCTGGGAGACAGGAAAACAAAAGAAGCCACAAAATAAATTCAATTCCCCCCCCCCCCCCAATATAATCAGAACCTCTGAATATTTTAACAGCCAGTAGACACTGAAAATGCTTACATTTTTGTTAGACACTGACAAATAAAAAAAAATGTAGTGCTGATAGATGGCCAAAAGATGAAGAAGTGGCATATCTCCCGTAGACATCCGTTGTGGACAGTCTGGTTTATTGTAATGTCATTCTCAACCACAGCCTTCTTAACTGTACAGAACATCTTATTTAACATACTCCTTGTTTTTAGGCTGTTTATATTCTATATTTACTTATGTTCAACCTCATCTGCTTGGCAAATCTGTCAGTCCTATATTCACCTTCTCTTGCAGCTGAGTATGATTTGTGAAAAGAACAGCAAGGTTATCAGCATCAAGATCTTTTAGCTAGGTGAAGAGAGTCTCTGGATTCCTCTGGGCTTGTATGAGGTGATCTTTTCACATAATTTAGTCAATGGTGATGAGGAAGAAAATGGGGAAACCAGATTCTGGGAACCATTCAGTGAGGTTCCCACTTAGAATGAAACTACACTCTCATTGATGGTGAAACATCCTTATCAATGCTGCAGTCCTAGCAGAGACTCAGGATTGCATGATCTTCTACCAGGTGTCACAGTGCTGTACATATTGTTACATAGAATGAAGTAATGAAGTAATACATATGATAAATGCAATTACTTAAGAGAAGTTTCTTGTCAATAGTCCCTTATCACCTCTTGAAATGTTGTTTTGAAGTCTGTTTTGCAGGCTTTACTGTGTGACCAGATGTGAACTGTGAAGTACGTATGCAGGAAATTTGTCTCAGATGTTCAGAGAAATTTGGAATACAACAAAACCCTGACTTTCCCTCACGAAAGGGAGATAAATCTTATCTTAAAAGATTAGGCACAAGACTGAAAATGACACCATATTTAGACCAATGTAATGTAATGTAATTTAGTTGTCTCCTAATTTTAGGGAAATAAAAAGGTCCTCCAGCTGACAGAGCAAATACATGTTTATTTGGAGAATTATTTCTGGATCTTATAAAATAAATCCTGCATCCTCACTTTAAGGTGTGGGTGTAGGCATGTGTAGTACATCTGGTTTAAGCTGGTGCAGTTGATAAGAAGTATTTATTCATAAACTTGATAAGAACAGGCTGGATTAGCAGCATAGTTTATAGATACAGTAAATGCAGTAACTAAAATGTTTGCTAAAGAGCAAGTACTCTTTCGCAGCTTTACAAATAGACTATACTTGTTTGTCTTGGCAAGATATCAAGTTCCAGTTTCTTCTTTGTACTTTTCACTGTGTGGACAGCTGGAAAGTTTCAAATGTTTCTTGTGAAATCCTGGAAAGTTTCAGTTTTCTCCAGGATTAACCAAAACAAACTTTGAATTTTAACAAGTACGAGTAGTAGCATCTTAAAAATAATTTTAGTCTCGTACAGAAATATGCATGCTTACACTGAAAGCCCAATAGATGTGGTGGTGATGTCTGTTTCTGCAGAGCCGTTAAACTCATTCTGCAGTGAGTCTAAAATACCTGCTCTGATTTTGGACAGTATGTGGGACATTTCTTCATTCCAACCTTTGGCTTGGAAAATGATAGAGGAATGGCTGTTGTTATTAGATCTGGTGGGGGTGGGGAATCATATTATGTCTGCCTTTGAGCTAGTTAACAATCCTGCAATGATACTGTGGCTTCTTGAAATTAAACTTTTAAGAAAAACATTCAATTTATTTAATTTTTTGCTTGCAGAAGATAAATGCTATGTTTCTTCTGGACCAGGATGTCATCAACAGCCTGCGGTCAGTCTATGACAAATTCAACTCAGATTTAATGTGAAAGTGAGGTTATTGTGAAGAGGGGAGAGAGTCAGTCCAATAATCCGTGTCCCTTTTAAATTAGTTTTCTCTGTTGCAAACAGGACATTATGTTTGACCTGCTTGTTAAACTTTTTAATTGTTAAAATTATTCCCCTCCACAATCAGATTTTTTAATACATTTTTTATGTGCTTCTTATCCTTTTCAAGACTGGTCCTTTTATCTTTATCAGCCCCAATCTGTCTGCTCAATTTCAGTATTTATTTTAGATTTTATTTCATATTTTACCTCTTCTGAGTCAATTCTTTTGTCCACTGCTGTGTTTTATTTGTGCCATCTATGCTCCATCTGTTCCAAAGATGCCCCTAGAGGGATTGATAAAGTTGCCTGATGGACTGATTGATTGACACCGAACTTCGCTCAGTGTCTTTTTTAATAAACTGGGAGGAGAAAACAGTCAAATTGTTCTGTTTTAGATGTGGTGGGATCGTTAACACTTGTGAAAAATAACTACAGCTAAATGATTTCTACTCATGCTGCTATAAAAAGTGATTCAAGCACACATCCTATACCTATCTCATATTGAGAAGGTGTTTGTCTCTTGGGATGCACTATGGGAGTTAAATGACATCTCCACTCCTTCCTCCACTTCAGGATTTTCCTTCCTCCTCTTCCTCCTCCTCTCTCCAATTTTCTTGGCCACTTTCATCATGTGCTGCCTGAAGGATGATCCCATGAAGGCATAGAGGATGGGGTTGAGGCAGCAGTGAGTGAGGGCCAAGCTCTCTGTCACCTGCGCCGCCTGATCCAACACTTTACTTGTCCCACAGTGGGTCACTAAGATGTAGACCGAGTCCATCGCTCGATACGCCTTCAACACGTTATATGGAAGCTGGGTGACCACAAACACCCCGACGACTATCAGGAGAACACGCAGAGCTTTCCACTTCTTTCCTCTGCTCTCAACGGGGAGGTCTTTAAGCGCCCAGCCCACTCTGCAGTAACAGATCATCATGATGATGAGAGGAAGCAGGAATCCCAGCATCACCTCTACCATCTCCAGAGCAGCTTTCCCGCCTCCTGCCATTGATGGAGGGTAGACAGCCAGGCAGATGCTCCTACCGGACGACCATCTTACTTCTGAGAGGATCAAATCAGGAAGACCGAGGAAGACAGCTGTCATCCAGACAACCAAACACACCTTCCAGCAGTGTCTCCTGCTGAACATCCTCTCCAGCCGCCCTCTTTGGTCATTCCCTTGCGCTCTAGCTAATGCGAAGTAGCGATCCAGGCTAATGCAAGCCAGCAGCAGCATGCAGCAGGTGAAGTTGACTGTGTAGCAGGCAGACACAATCTTACACACGACCTCGCCCAGATCCCAGCCCCTTGCCGCATCAGCAGCCCAGAATGGCAGTGTGAAGAGCAGTAGCAGGTCAGCCACAGCCAAGTGGGTCAGGAAGGTGTCTGTCATAGTCTTGAGGCGTTTGTGGTAGGCGTAGATGGCAACGACTAAAGCGTTTCCTGCCACGCCAACCACCAGACACACAGTGTACATGATGGGGAGAAAGACGCCAGCGAAGGAACGGATGTCACCCTTCCTACAAAGGGCGGGGTAGTCTTCATAGCTGAAGTTGAAACTGATGTTTTCGTGGTAATAGTAGTCAAACTCCTCCGAGACTTCCATTTTCATGAGATGAAACTGTGAAGGAGGAAATATGGAATTAGTTGTCTGTCACCTTTAAACATTCACAACCTTACAACACAAAACTACAGTAGTCTGGTTTAAAGAAAGGAAGTACATTTCACACAGTGAATGTGCTTATAGTTATGATTAAATTGTAGTTAAACCATCTTTAGTTTTTCTAGTTTAACGCATTTCCTTTTTTCTTTTTTTTTCTCTTTATTTTGGCAAGAATTGCAGGAGAACATCCATGAGTAACGACTGCCAGTAACAATACATGCAGTGGAATCATTGTTAATACGACTATGTAGAAAACAAAATAACAACACAAAGTATTGACCAGCTCAAACCCGCTTTTCTTAACCACCAACCCTCCTCTTCCTTCATGGGTCATTCCCTGAATTGCACAAAACAAGCAAGATATCTCTTAACTGTGCTAAACCACTGACATCTGCAAGACATTTTGTGACTATCGGCTAATTATTGTTCTGTGATAACGTCAGTGTCTACTTCCTGTGTTGGCATGCAGGAATTAACAACCACACAAGTTTTGTGTTTTAGATGAAAAAAACGTGCCCATACAGAATAGTTCTCTAAGGAACTGCAACATCTGAAAACACTCGACAACATACCTTATTTATTCAGTCATTGATTCTACAGTATATTATTTACATGTCTATTAATTGGACATGTTTCTCTACTATAAACATTTAATTTTGTAACCTTTTTTTTATCAGGACAATATTCTCAATGATATACAAGATCTCTTTTTCAAGAGAGTCCTGGCCATGACAGCAGCATTAAAGTTTCAGACAGAGACCAAAAGACAGACAATCAACAAATATTACATCAATCAACAAATAAGTAGCGATCAGCAGAGAAACATGTGCATACAATCATCAAATGATCCTTTATCCTACTTTTGTAAAACTACTGAATTCAAGGTCTTTACTATTTTCATCAGTTTGTTAACTGTCCTGCTTACTATCCCATGCATCAGATAAAGCAAAACAGAAATGCTAAAAAAAAGTGCTCCAACCTGTTCTCACATTGATCTAGTTAGTCGAGGATTCTCCTTTACCCAAAGTTAAAGAATGTACATTGGCAGTTGTCCAAAAGTCAGATTTAATCCCATCTAAAATCACATGTACATGTAAATGTTACTGTAGTAAACCAGTATTTAAACTACAGGATTGACTGTAGTGTGAATACACCCAAATAATCCCTCCAGCAGTCAGTCCTACCTTCAATCACGGCTGTTCCTCTTCGGTCTGAGAGTCTGACTGTTTAACTCCAGCTGAGTTTTGTAGCTGCACACACAGAGATATTTTAAACACACTTCTGAGAGAGATGACTCAGAAAGAAAACATAGAAGGAGGAAGAAGAAAAAAAACACAGACTGACAGAACAAAACCATTTGCTAAAGTGTTTAGTGAGGAAAATGTGTTGCTTTTTTATACAAGCATTAGCATGTCTACACTGACACAAAAACACTTCAGCAGCATAGCAACAAGACACTTTAAACCAAACATCAACCCTCCTGCAAGTGAAACCAGAACTTTGTCAAACTGGCGTTATAGGAGACGTTTGAGTACAGCAGTTTTAAAAAGAAACATGAACCGACTGAAGGCTTTAGCCAGTATTCAAGATTTTTTCATACGGCAACAATAAGCTTGGACCTGTGGCATATTTCTAAGTTTACATCCACACCCATGTTAATAACCTCACTGCAATTAAAACCACAGGAATGTCTTGGCTGATACGCCTTTTCAGTGTCACGTGGGAAATCTGGGACAGTGCCTGGGGAGTGGCAGACCGGTGTGGTGGGACCCATTTTCAAAAAGGGGGACCGGAGGGTGTGCTCCAATTATCGGGGTATCACACTTCTCAGCCTTCCGGGGAAAGCTTACTCTAGGGTGCTGGAAAGTAGGCTCCGGCCGATTGTCGAACCTCGAATACAGGGGGAACAATGTGGATTCCGTCCTGGCCGTGGGACAGTGGACCAGCTCTTTACCCCGCAGGGCTTCTTGGGGGAGCGTGGGAATTTGCCCATCCAGTCTACATGTGTTTTGTGGATTTGGAGAAGGCTTTTGACCGTGTCCCTCTGGGGATCATGTGAGGGGCACTGCGGGACTATGGGGCCTGGGGCCGTTGGTACAAGCCATCCGGTCCCTCTATGACCAAAGTGGGAGCTGTGTCAGACACGTTCCCAGTGCGTGTTGGCCAGCGCCAGGGTTGCCCCTTGTCACCTGTCCTGTTTGTGATATTCATGGACAGGATCTCAAGGAGCAGCCGGGGGGAGGAGGGTTTCCAGTTCGGGGGCCTCAAAATTTCATGTCTGCTTTTTGCAGATGATGTGGTTTTGTTGGCCTCCTCATGCTGGGACCTCCAGCAGGCATTGGGGCGGTTTGAAGCTGAGTGCGAAGCAGCTGGGATGAGGGTTAGCACCTCCAAGTCAGAGGCCATGGTTCTCTGCCGGAAAAAAGTGGATTGCTCTCTCTTGGTAGGGAGTGAGTCTTTGCCCCAAGTGAAGGAGTTCAAGTATCTCGGGGTCTTGTTCACGAGTGAGGGTAGGATGGAGCGTGAGATCAACAGACGGATTGACACGGCGTCAGCAGTAATGCAGGCGTTGTGCCGGACCGTTGTGGCGAAGAGGGAGCTGAGCCTGAAGGCAAAGCTCTCGATTTACCGGTCGATCTTTGTTCCAACCCTCACCTATGGTCATGAGCTGTGGGTAGTGACCGAAAGAATAAGATCGCGGATACAATTGACCGAAATGAGCTTCCTCCGGAGGGTGGCTGGGCTCAGCCTTAGAGATAGGATGAGGAGCTCTGACATTCGGGGGGAGCTCGGAGTAGAGCTGCTGCTCCTCCGCGTCGAAAGGAGCCAGTTGAGGTGGTTTGGGCATCTGTTAAGGATGCCTCCTGGATGCCTCCCTTTAGAGGTTTTCCAGGCACGGCCAACTTGGTGGAGACCCCCAGGCAGACCCAGAATGCGCTGGAGGGATTATACATCCCGTCTAGCCTGCGAATGCCTCGGAATCCCCCAGGAGGAGCTGGAAAACGTTGCTGGGGAGAGGGAAGTCTGGGTTGACTTGCTGCGCCTGCTACCACCGCGACCCGACCTCAGATAAGCGGAAGAATATAGATGGATGGATGGGATAGCACTTTTTCTTTTTAAGACTTATTTATTTTATCAATGTATTTGTTAGCAGTTAAACTCGTGGGCATAAGTAACTGGAGACTGTTGTGTAGATTATACAGATTATACAAAGCAACACATCTTTAAAGTACAATGTACTATTTCATGGTAATAATGGTAAAAGCATGTTGTGTACATTATGAGTTTGTGTTTGCATATTGTGTAGCCTGACTAGTGCCTTGGTTGACAACGGCTCCAGAACCCACCACTCGCCTCCATCATTACATGGCAGAGGCCTAAAAGAAATGTAATCCCCCTGTTCATATTTCAAACCCATTATTTCACAAAAAAAGTTCACAAAGGCAGCTTTTCGTGTAAAGACAGCACATAAAATGAATGATTATTTCATCGTCCTCCAAAAAGCAGATATTTGACAGAAACTTTGTTGTAAAAAAATGTATCTGGGTTAGCTCAAACATTTAAAAAACAGTATTTAGCTTTAAAGAAGACTAACTATCTTTGAGAACATGTTTTCTGGATATTGTAAAAGCTCCAGTGAGGAACTTTTAGTTGATGAAAATTTTCATCTGTTAATTATTTTTGTTTTCTGTCAAATATATCACTCTTCCAGAATCTTTGCTGTGGAAAATGTATAAAGAAACAGCTTAACCCTTCATCTGACATCTACCTTCAGACATTAAAGGTCCTGTATTATCCTCCTTTTCAACCAGTTTAAATAAGTCTCAGAGCTCCCCAAAACATGTCTGTGAAGTTTCCTGCCAAAAATCCACTCTGATCCTGTATTTGATCATGCCTATAAACCCCTCTATTTCAGCCCTGCTCAGTACAGGCTGTTTCTGTGTCTGTAGCTTTAAATTTAATGAGCTGTGTGACAGCGCCCCTCTCTGGAAGGGATTGGGTGTCTCAGGTTTTTTCACTCCATGCCTGATTGCTTACAGTGGAAAGGCAGACTCAGAGGGTAGAACAAACACCTAGCTGTGGGAGTGTCCTCCACCTGGGGGAGGGGTTACTGCCCTTTATGATGTCATGAAGACAGGCTAGGAACACGAGTGTTTGAAAACCATGGTGAAGAGTATTTTGCATAAAATGTGACCTTTAAAAAATTATTGTATAGAAATAGTCAATTTTGTGGTCGACGGTATCTTTTTCTTGTGTAGGTCATAAAGAGACTTATTAATGACAGTTTGTTTCATAATCAATTAAAAACTCCTCACAGTAGCTTCAATGTAGTTTATTTTTCTTCTCATTTCTCATTCAGTTAAAAACTCATGACAAGGTTGCTACAAAGCTGCAAAAACACATTTCTATATGACACAATATATTATATATCATGATGTGCTAGAGTAATACAAGCTAGAGTTGAGAGTGAAGCAGGAATAGCTTTTAGTTTTCATGAAGAGGAGATATAATTAGTGTTGACTTGAATCTTTGATCTCCAGTCTTGCATGAAAGTGATTGAGCTGATCACTGTAGCTGAAAACAGAAAAACACAAATCAGGGAAATGAAAAGCTGAAAAAACAATTCTCACACATGATGCCTTGAGGTTAATCAGTTAAGAAATCAATGGAGCCATTCATTACGTGTTTTCATTTTGATTATCAGTTATTTAAAAAAACATTTAACATTTCAAAAAGCGAAAACACAATTCTTTAACACTTCAAGGTCTATAACATGTAGAGTCTGAAACCCACAGAGAAAGAGAGAGTTTCAAAAAGAGTTTATTAAGCACATTTTAAAAACAAGAAAACAAAAAACACAACAGTAACTTCACTGTCTGATTGGTTATTGGTATTTTTTTCTGTCTTCAGATTTGGTACCTGAAGGCAGCACAACCAGCAGCATGGGACACACAAGGACTCGGTAAAATCCAGAGCAGGTGGGATCATCTTATTTTAATGTTTTTCTTTAAAATAATTAACTGCACATGACTGGTATTACACACTTGACCTCACTTATTTGTTGTGTATTTTGTTATCATCTAGTTTACCTGTGCAGTCTTTGTGTTGTTTTTCGAGTTAGGGTTTTGCTGTGAATAAAAACACATATTATTTATTAGATAGAAGGACTGTGTTCAATTCCAAATCAACTTAAGAGCTTTAGTAGTTCTCTATTTAAGGCTTTTGCACTTAAAATACTGTAAACAATTTAACCTTTGAGAAAGTAGAACATGCACCAGTCCTCCTCATGCAGTTGGACACATACCGTCGATCTCTGTATCTAATCTGTGACAAAATATGAATAAAGACAGGTGTTATTTTTAACTGAGAACCATCACACCGCTACACAGAGAGCCCAGACTGCGAATCAAACACAGAACCAAATCACTGTGTTTCACATCTCTGTCTCTCTCCAACATGTTTGACATTTAGACTTCCACACGTCTTTGAGAAGACTCAAATATAAATCAAAACTCTTACAACACCAGAAAAACTCCTGTACTTACCAGATTAAGAGACTGATGTTGTTGATCATCTGATTTAAGAGCGGCTGCATCAGAAGAAGTGAAGTCTGAGATGAGCAGGAGAACCTGCAGACACAACACGACCAGCAGCACAGTTCTTTCCATGACTGAAGACCTGAAGACTTTGATACAAACACACACACACACACAGTCTTTGTAGACTCACTTTTTTTGTGGGTTAAGAGGAGGGATTAGAGAATGTAAGGCAGCAAAATAACACATTCCTAAATGGTTTGTTTTCCAAACAAAATGTTCTTACCATTGACCTCCTGTTTGAAATCACTCCAGGTACTTCCCTGCCCTGACCGGTAAAAACAAACAGTGTGACAGTGGCTTGATTGAAAAGAACATTTATTGATCCTCTGGCAGAATATGTTCCAAATCACATTCTGAATATAACCAATACGATATAAAGTCACAACAAGGACACTTTTATAGGCTACATGTTTAGGTTTGACTGATGACATCACACTGACAAGACGTCAGTGACATTCAATTACTGCAATTAGCTTCAAGGTTTTTTTTTGCCATGCAATGAAAAGAACAGTGATTGGTATTTTTTAAGTTAAACTTCAGACTCAAAAATATATAAATACTTAATTTACATCCAAGTTATTATTCAAAATACAATTATCATAGAATAGTTGTGCTAAAAAGACGGGCAGTAGTTGTTTTTCTGCTTTTTGTTACGTAGCCTAGAAAAAAGGAATAAACGTATCTTGAACATGATTTAAATTAAAACATATGATAGGTTTAGAAGGAAAATGATTCTTCAGACAACAACTCTGTGTAT